AAACACGTCACCTCCTGCCACAACTGTTGGTCAGGAGGTGTCATAACCCGACTCCACCACCAGGGGCCAGCCCTGCGGGGCCTTGCAGAAGCTGACAGAGGCACCCACAGCTACTACCTCGGTGTCCAGAAAGAGACTCACCAGTCTGAGCGGAGGACGAGGGAGCCCCGAGCCAGGGCTCCAGCCATTCTGACTGGACAGCATACAGAAGGGAGGACTCGTGTTGGGAAGAAGAAATACAATCCCTCTAGCCCGACTGTTTATGCAGAACTCCCCAAAGAACCCACTGGATCTCCCCAGAACCAGAGCGGGCATCAGCAAAGCTGCAAAGGAGCCCTCTGCCCAGGAGCAACCTGTCCTCCACCCTGGGGGCAGGCTGGACAAGGAGTGCCCCTCCCCGAAGGATGTCCATGTCCTATTCCCAGAGCCTGGGAGGGTCACCTGACACAACAGAGGCACTTTACAGATGGGATCGGGGAGCCGGAGAGGGGAAGGGTGGTGGGTCATCCAGGGCGTCTTCAATGTAATCTGAGGGTCCGCCTAAGGGACAGGAAGGAAGGCCAAAGTGGGTCCTGGTCTTGGGACAATGAAAGTAGAGATTGGGGGTGGGGGGGCGTTGTCCAGTCCTCCAGGGCAAGAAGCACACGGAGACCCTCATCCCAACTCCCCAGGAGAAGCGGGGAGCCCCTGATGCTGCAGCAGCAGGAACGGATCCCGCAGGGGCTTTGCTAAGTGAGAGGAGCCCAGTGCCCACCGTCCTGCCCCTACCCAGAACCTGCTGACCAGCGGGAGGACAGAGGAGGGAGGGAGAGAGGAAAGGAGGGAACTGTAACCCTGCGTAAGCCATCCCCTCCACCCCTGCCACCCTCAGGGAGAGTCCCCCTCCCCAGGCTCTGTGCTGCTCGCTGCCCGAGCCCCTCCTGTGTCTCCTCAGGGACTCGGGTTTGGGTGATCCGTGCTCTGCTTCACGAGTTCTGTTCATTCCCATTTTCTGGGTGTTTCTCTACTTAATCCTGCGGAGGCCTGGGGGACTGCTTCTACTGTCTGTACAGGAGCTAACTGCAGACCCACCCTTCCCAAGGCCACCCCCCACACCCCGCCCCAGGAAGCGCACACTTGTTCTGGTGGAAATGCCCAATGTGCATGGTGAACACGGCCCGGCAGCTCCCACCACGGACAGAGTCAATCACGTCCTGCCTCCGCCCAGAGCCCACTGACCAGCTCTGCCTTCTAGACACCCCATGAGCCCGTCCCGGACCCCACCATGATCCAAGACCCCACAGACCTGCCCAGCCTCCTCACTCACTGCTGCCGGACTGAGCAGACACCTCTGAGCAAGGACAGCGAGCTTCCCACTGATGCAGGGCCTCAAGAACCCGGTGCTCCTGAGCACTCCACTCCAACCTGCCTCTCAAGGACCCAGGGGCTGCCAGGAGGAGGGTGGATGCTGCAGCCCTGTGGGCGAGCAGTGGGCAGCACTCGGGGCCCCAAGGTCTCTGGGATAACCTGGCAGGAAGGACCCTGAGAGAGTGCAGGACAGAGGGCCGTACACACTACCCAGAGTGCACCCAGGCTTGTACACAGTGTACAAGCAAGTCCTTGCACATGTACACACTCACCAACACAGGAACACACACACCACACAGAAACTCACACACACATGTATGTGCACAGTCACAGCACACGGGAACACACACACATGTATGTGCATAGTCACACCACACATAGTCACACCACACGGGAACACACACGCGCATGCCCAGTCATACAAGGCCAACACATACATGCATGGATATGAGGTGTGCCAACACAGAAGAATGATCACATATGCACCTACACTTATTTGCGCCAGCACAGAGTGCACATCTGTGCCCCCACAGACCATGTACAGGTACGTGCACACAAGCTCACACCATGCTCTGGGGGGCTGCTGCTGTTGCCCCCACCCGATCTCCTGGTGGAAGGCACCCCAGGCAGCATTCCGGGGACATTGCCAGTGACTTGGCCCACCGGGGATGTCCTCTCCATGTCTGTCCATCTGGGCCGGGGCCAGCCACGTCCATCTGTGGTAGGGGGCTGCCTGGCAGGAGCCCCAGGGTGCAGAGACTCTGAGGGCTGGGGGTGGAGGTGGGGTAGACTTTGGCGCCATAATCCCTTTGGTTACGTTGCTCCCAGATGCCGGCTCAGGGTGGGGAGAGGGTGGAGGGACGTTGGCAGGTGTGCGTGTCCTCCTCCCTTTGGCCAAGCAACTCCCAGCTGCTGGCCCCTTGTCAAGCCCTGAGCTGGGGGCAGGTTCAGACAAAGGAGCTCACATGTCCCCAAGGACATCATGCAGGTGACCCGAGGGTGGAGCACTAAGGGTCCCAGGCCCCAGCAGGGGACCCCACAGCCTCGCTGTGGCCCAGCCAGCCACTCGGGGCCTCTCTGGATCTAGGGTCTCAGGACCAGTGGCAGAGCTGGTCACACAGGTGGCCTGGCCTCAGCCCCGCCCTGGCCAGCTTCCTTTGTCCAGGGCCTAGAGCCTGGCCTTGAGCCTGGACAGTGGCTCAATGGGGCCACTGTGAGCCAGATGGACCGCCTCCTTCCCTGGGTGTCCAGATTCTCAGGGTCAAGACAGGACCCCAGACGCGTGCACACCCCAGCACAGAGGCCGCCCAGAAGCCTCCGTGCTCAGAATCCAGCCAGGACAGAGTCCAGACTGTGACCGCCTGGTCCTGCCATAGCCCTCTCCGTCGGCTGACTGGACCTCAGCGGCCCTGACCCCCCACGTCCCCACCCCCGACCTTTTCAGAGTGATGGGCACTGGCCCAGGGACCTCTGGCTCTGCAAACACTTTCATTCCGGTGGAAGGGGACAGGGGGCAGGGAGTGGCCGGAGCTCTGATGACATGGCCTCTGGGACTAAAGCTTCTTATAGAAGGGCAGGGGCGACCGTGGCCACTGCATCCTGCAGCCAGAAGCACCAGGCACCTGGTGCTCTTCACTCTGGGCCTGGGTCTGGTCAGCATGGTGGTCAGCAGGGCAGCTGACCCCGCAAGTCCACCGGGACATCCCTCCTTCCATGCCAAACAGGTGGCACACCGGGCCATGCGACCACCCTGAGCCCCTAGAGGGCCGCTGCCTTCACCCCTATCTAGGCACCTTGGTGGGGGAGGGACGCTGATAACCTGAAGCCAACTCTGTCCTCTGAACAGAGGCTGGTGGTCTGGGGCGGCGGCAGCCGGGGACGCAGGACAGCAGGTCCCCGGGCCCCTGCCAGCCAGTCACCTGTCCCCTTCTGTGAGGTCTGACGCTCGATGCTGATAGAAGGCAAACGCCAGGGCTACACCCCTTGTTCAGGTGTGTCCCAGGGTCTCCCACCCACTTCAGCCGGGAAAGCCCAGCCACCTCCCTCCCTCCCAGATCCGAGGGAAATGGCACTCCATCGAGCTGTCCACCCCAGCCTGGAATATCAGGACAGACTGACTCAGCTGCTGAAACCAGCACACAATCCACACCCTCCCTGAAGCCCCAGGAGCGTGGGGACAGGGCTCCTGACCCAGGTCCTCAGTAGGTGGGCACAGGTTTGGGTATAGGGACAGGGCAAGGGACTTGCCAGCTCAGTCACATCCTCCAAGAGGAGGAGGACAGGGGTCTCCCGGGGTGGCACACCCTCCCACCAAGGGTCAGGAGAACCCTTGGACCAGCCTGGAGCTGACGTGCGTGGGGCAGGGAAGGTTGGCTTTCCAACCCGGGTCCTGGACCTCCAGCTCCGTGCAGACCTGTCCCTGTCCCCAGTCACCCACAGCAGCGCCTTCAAGCCCAGGCTGACACCCACCCCCCGCTGAGTCCCCCCACCCCCACCCCAGCCCAAGACAGTGCCCTGGGAGGCAGGCAGAGGGTCCCAGTGAGCTTCTCATTTTCAGGCTCCTCCCGGGAAGTGACCAGGGGCATCTAACAGCTCACCTCCCAGCTAGCAGCTCTGTGCTCAACCCTCGGCCCCACCAGGGCCCTGAGACCGCCGCCCCCACAAGCAGGGCCCCATGCCCCAAAGACAGAAGGGCAAGTCAGCCTGGGTGTCCACTTGCCCTGGGAGGCATGGGAGCAGAGTCGTGGGCTGGGTGTGTCCTCAAAGCACATGCCAACGTGGTGGGAACTCGGGATTAGGGGGTTTCCTGGAGAGATCAAGGACACAACCAGTCGAGACCGCCACCCCCTCGGCCCCGGGCACCCCTGCTTTGAGTTAGGGGTGGTGGCGGCCTGAGCTACAGCCTGCATCACATTTTACCCTGAAGAGATCAAAGAGAAGGGAGTGAAGAGAGGCCCACGCCACCAAGAACAGAGAGCCTGGAGTGGGGGGTGTCCTTTGGACCCCGGTCTCTGCACTGAGCGCCTCTCAGAACATCCAGGCCAGGACACGTGGGAGACAGCCCCCAGGGACACTGCACCCACAGATGCTGAAAGGAGACAGTAAGGACCTCCCCACAGAGGCCACAGAGAGAGAGCCGGCCTGCTGGGAGCAGGGCCTTGCCACCCTCTCCAGCTCCCCTGGAGGGACAGGTGGGCCTCCCCGCCAGGTGACCTCAGGCTTGGCCCTGCCTGCCAGAGCACTCCCAAGAGCAGGGCATGGAGGATGAGATGCTGGGCTCCTGGCCCCGGATGGCAGGGGGCTGGAGAGGACATGGGCTGAGAGATGACCATCATACACACTGAGGGCCGGCCCCTCCACCCCCGGCAAGGCCACACTCAGAGGGTGTCCTGAAAGGACACCCCTCTGCCCACCCCCACCCCCCCTGAGCCCAGAGCTGTGGGGCTGAGACCACAGGTGAGAGGCGGGGCCAGGCGGCCTCCACCCACCACCCCCACAGCTCCAGTGACAAGCAGTGAAACTGACCAACCGGACTAACCGCCCAGCCCGCCCCAGGCCGACCCACCCGCATTGACCTGCATTCCCCTTGCCGGGCCCAGGGGCTGCGTGCCTCCCTCCCCGGGAATCAGGTGGGACAAACAGGGAACAGAGACATGGCCCTGACGAGGTGGCCGCTCCTGCTGCTGACGCTCGGCCTGGGCCTGGCCGGCGCACAGGAGACCCTGGAGGAAGTGCCCTTGCAGCAGGACTTTGATGCTCAGAAGGTAGCTCTGAGGACCAGGACACGTGCTGGGTGGCCTAGGAGGTGCCTGGGCAGTAAAGAGGAGTGTGTGTGTGTGTGTGTGTGTGTGTGTGTGTGTGTGTGTGTGTGTTTTGGGAGGGGGGGTTCGTGGGAGGGCAGCCCAGGCCCCGTCCATCTGGACCCTGCCCATGCTCTCAGTCCAGCCCTGGTGGGCCCAGGGGAGGTAATGGAGGGGGGGGGGTCCTTCCCTCCTCCAAGGCCAGCAGTCATGGGCATGTCCTTCTCTCAGCCACACCAAGCAGCTGCTGCCCAAGGGCAGTCCCAGGAGAGGGGGGCCAGGGCCGGCAGGAGCTTGCTCACCACTCAAGAACACCCAGTGCTGGCTCAGGGCCAGAGTCCTGCCTCCCTCTGACCTGGAGCCAGCACCAATTTCCCCACCCTCTCTGAGCCCAGGGACTCTCTGAAGGGAAGGGGCATGGGACCCACACAGGAGAGGAGAGGAGAGGGAGGGGAGGGGAGGAGAGGGTGTCCTGGGAGAGGAAGGGAGAACCACCAGTCCCCAGCCAGGGCTGTGGCTCCCCCAGTGACCCGGGCTGAACCTGGATCCCAGGAGCCAGCGTCCATGAGGACCCTCACCCCTGCTCCCTTGCCCCTCCACACTCACCCCTGCATGTTAACCCTGCCATGCTCATCCCTGCGCCCATGCACCCTCCCCAATGCACCCTCACCCCTGCACATTCACCCCTGCAGACAGAAGGACACTGGCTAGCCCTCCAGCTTGCTGCCACCCACCCAGGCCTGGTGTCCCCAGACGACCCCCTGAGGCTCTCCCTGCACTCCATCCGGGCCACAGATCAAGGGGGTCTGGATTTCCTGCTCTTCTGGATGTAAGCTCCATCCTGCAGCTCCTCGGGGACCCTCTCCTCAGACTCAGGGACCCCAGGTGACCAGGACAAGTGGAACTCATCAGCTCAGCGCTTTCTCGGGACTCCTCTCCAGAAGCTAGAGGAGCCCTTGTGCAGGGAGTCCCAGAGCCTTAGCGCTGGGGGGGGGGGGAGAAGGAGGGCAGGGAGGGCAGTGGCAGCCCAGGACAGAGGCCTAGCCTCCCAGTTGTGGGGGACAGGACATGTGTGCTTCTTTTTGGGGGGTGTTGCTGTGTGGATCCCACCTCTGCTCAGAGCTCTGTGCCCCTACCTGCCCGCCGGCCCCTCCAATCAGGACCCTCTGAGGTACCTGGCATTTGCCCAGAGAGCTCTTGGAGATGCTTGGGGGTCGGCAAAGCAGGGGTGCACACAGAGTGGTGCTTCAAGGTGGGAAGGGGGGTGATGTTGAGGGGTGGGGAGGGGGGCTGACACATAGGTGGTGTGGGGGAACGTGGTGACACAGAGGGCCACAGCGGGCGGCACCTGCCAACAGCGCCCGCCTTGAACCTCCCACGGCCCCAGACAGGACGCCAAAGGGTTCATCTGCACACTGGGCCACAGGGGTGGCCCTGGACCACGTGCCTGATGGGGGGGGGGAGGGTGGCTTCTAGCCAATCTCCTCCCAGTCCTCCCACCCAGACTTGGCCCAAGGGCCCCTGGACTCCCCATCTCTGCCAGGACCCTCCAGCCCTCTGGCACCATGGGCTGTGCCCCACCCTGTGCATGGGTAAGGTCAGGCCACTGCACAGAGAGGGATAGCTGGACCCCAGGGCTCTCCGCCAGGTTTTCCCAGTCCCTGAATCAACCACACACTGGGTCCGGCAGGACGGTGGGCAGGGGCCCTTGGCCACGAGGTCATCCTCTGTGTTTCCCAGGGGCCAGGGTGTGTGCCAAGGCCTGAACGTCACCGTCCACCCGACTGGGCTGCGGGGCCAGTACCAAGGCACCTGTGAGTACCTGCTTACTCCGAGGGCTGGGTGGCAGGGTCCAACGGACAGCGGGGGTGGCAGTGGGGGGAACTGGGCAGGAGGGCTCACCCAGGGTCTCCCCCAGTTGAGGCCGTCGGCCGAGTGCTGGTCCGAGTCGTGGGCACCGACTATGAGAGCTTGCTTCTGCATGTGCGGGTGGAACAGGACGCCGAGACCAACGCCCTGTGGGCACTGCTGGGTAGGTGCCACGCTCTGCCCAGCTCAGCCTGGACACGTCCAGGCCCATGCTGACTGGGTCTGCTCGGAGGTGCCCCTAGTGGACACTTCTTTCCCTGCGGTCCTGCCCCTCTGGGCAGGGGTGTGCCATTCATGCATTAGCTCATTCGTTCATTCATTCATCCCCCCTGCAGTGTCTCCCGCTGGAAGCCCCTCCCTCTCTCTGCCCAAGAGTCAGCCAATGGGGCACAGGAATGCGGGACTAGATGGGGGTGGGGTAAGGGCAGCTGGGGGTTGCCTAGTGAAGGGAGGGGCTGGTGGGCAGGAGGAGAGGGATGGGGGGGGCCCAGATCACAGAGTGGGAGTGAGGGGGCCTCAGTGGGACGCACTGAGGGGGTGGGGCTTCAGCCAGTGGGGTCATCCTGTCCCAGGCCCTTGCTTAGACAGAGGGGGCAAGGGGAGATGGGGAGGGAGAAGAGAGGGGAGAAAGAGGGGGAGGAGGGCTAGGGCAGGCAGAAAAGTCCAGGGGAGGGCAGGAGGGCTGGAGGCTCCGCCTTGGAGGCGATGGGAGGGGGCCATATCAGAGTGGCCCGGCCCCCGCCCAGCAGGCGGCCAGGCCAGCAGAGTGGGAGCCGCAAGAGGTCCCCCCTCAAGGCAGCCCTCTGGTTTCAGCGCGGGCAGCGCCAGGGGACCCCGAGTGGCTGGGGCGGTTCCAGGCCTATGTGCAGCAGTTCCATCTGCAGAAAGTCCCTGTCTTCAACGGGAACGGTAAGTCTGCCTCCCCCTCCACCCCTGCGCCCACAGCCCCTTCCCTCTGGCCAGCTAGGTAGGGCTGTGGGGAGGGGGTGTCTGCCCTGAGGTTGTGCTTTCGAGAGTCCAGAAAGATTGTGACCAGACCCATGCCCCACGGCCAGGCAGAGAAGCTGCGAGAGAGACAGACCCCTTGCTCCCGCCTCAGCCAGTCTGCACGTGTGTGTGTGTGTGTGTGTGTTGGGGGGGAAGGGGGACAGGATCTGGACAAGTGCCCAGCCCCGCGGGGTCACAGAGTAGGGAGTGAGGCCTTGGTGCTGAAAGTGACCCCGCGGACACCAGCGCTGGGGTAGAGAAACCCACCACCCAGCAGCCTGCCGGGCTGGGGGCGTGGCCTGTGGGGAATAAGATTATGGGCGTGGTCTCTGGGGAGGGGAGCGTGGCCTTTTCCGGGGAAGAGAGGCTGGTGGTGTGGCCTGTTGGGGGACTAGGGATGGACATGGCTGTGGGGTGGAGGGAGGACACAGCTTACTGAGGTTGTAGGGTGTGCTCTGTCGGGGACAGGGAAGGAGGGGACGTGGCTGTGACTTGCTGGGAGATGAGATGGGAGGGGTGGCTTGTTGGGTGTGTGGGCGTGGCCTGTGTGGTGGGCGTGGCCTGATATGCTGTGGGGCTGTGCCCCCCACTCCCGCAGTGCGGTCTGTAGGTGGGAAGGACCACCAGGCCGGTGCACAGTGAGGCCTGGGGTTCAGACGGGTGCTCACAAGCAGCAGAGGGGTCCGGTGGGCCCCTTGAGGGCTGAGCCGCTGGGGATCGGGGCTGGGGTGGGAGGTGTTGTTGCTTCGGTTTGCAGCGCCGACTGAGGGCTTGTTCGGAGCAGGACAAAGACCCGGAATCACCACCTACTTCTCTGCCCCCCCACAGGCCAATGCCCACCACCTGACGCCTGGGTCAAACCCTGAGGCTCTGCCTCAGCCCCTTTCCTCTGAGTTGCCCTCAGCTCCCTTCTTTCTCGCCCCCACCTGTGTCTGCCGCCACTCCGTCCAACCCACTGCCATCACGGCTCTGCCCGCCCAGAGGAAGCTTCAAGCTCAGCCCCAGCCCTTCCAGTCCCCAGGAGCCCTCTTCCTGCCATGCAGTTTGCTGCTCCAGCTGCAGGGGGCAGTGCAGAGTGGCCACCACCGGGCGCATCAGCCTCAGGGCAACTCGGCCCCAAAGTCCACCAGCCACCCTCTCCTGCCAACAGGTCTGCAGACCTCCTGCAACAAGTCCAGGACGCTTGGGGAGAGTTGTCCTCTGGGACCAGATGCAGCCACCTGGCAGCTGCAGCTCCCAATCCTGACAAGAGCCAGACCTTCAACTGTGTTGGGCAGACTTGGACCCCATGCCCTGCAGAGCCCATGACCGGAGGATGGATCCACAGCTTGTTCAGGGCCACCCACAGAGGAGACAGGCGCTTGGAAAATTGGGTCAGGGACCTCAACACTCTTGAGAAATGCTGGAGACCAGGCAAGTCCAGGCAGGTGCCACCTCAGAGCACACTCCCAGCCAAGGTGCTGGCCCTCGCCTGCTACACTTCAGCGAGGTCACTTCCTGGTGGTCCACTGAGGTCACCAACAACTGAGGAAAGGTGACAAATGACCAGATTGGGTGGCCAACTGCCGGGGCTTTTTCCTGGTTTCCAAACCAGCCCACAGAACACACGCCTTTCCTGTAAACTCGCAGACCAGTTAGAAAGCTGCCTGGGGACGGCGGCAGGGCCAGAGCCCACCCGAGCTCTCGGGAGCACCGAAGGTCCGGTCCGACGCCAGTCCATGAGTCCTTTTTCTGTCCTCTTCATTCTGCTCTGGGGACATCGTGGAGGTCTGCTTGGGTTCCCAAGGGCACTATAGGGTCACTATGAGGCGGCATCGGCTCGATGGTGGTGAACTAGTGAGTCTGAGAGGTTGGTGGAGTGGGTCATTGTGCATGGGGCTGTTAACCACAAAGCGAGCAGTTCAACTCCACCAGCTGCTCCCTGGGAGAAAGACGAGGCTGCCCAGGCGTCGGGTGGTGGGCATTGGCCTGTGGGGGGGCAGAGAAGCAGGTGGTGATTCCGGGTCTTTGGCCTGCTCCTGTACAGATTCGTTTCAGAAACTGTCAGGGTTTCTCTCCTCAGCCCCATAAGGTTGCTGGACGTTGGGATGAACTAGAAGACATTGAGGTCGGTTTGGTTTCCATCCCAAGTACCGATCGTCAATGTCCCCAGCCACCTGAGTGCTTCCGTTGCCTTTGTTTGGGGAGCACAGGCTGTCCCCTTAAGTTGTAAGTTTGTCTCTCAGTGGAATGTGATATGAACAGGGAGTTCCTATCTGATGTCACTCAGTTTGCCTTACCGTGGTCCACCGTGGAAGCCAGAGTCCACACGCACTGAGCCTCCGGGGACTCCTGGGTCCACGGAGCCGGGGGTGAATGTTGCTGCCCGCGGAGAGTGCGCGTTGCACATGGAGGACCACAGACACAGTTAGGTCAAATTGACCATCTTTCAGTTCCCCCTTTGGACCTACTTTTAGTTTGATTACCTTCTCTGCTTTCTTTTGGATCAAAGGTTCTTTGGGTTGTATTTGTTGTTGGAATTTTTTGAGTGATTTTCTGTGTGTGACACCCAGGACAAGTAAATCTATAGAGACCTTAACTAGGTTAGCAGTCCCTTAGGGCGACAATGAGGGGGGAAGGAGCAGGTAATGGGGGCGCTAATCGTCCTGGGGACAAGAATGAAGAAAATGCTCTAGGGCCGAAGGTGGTGAAGAGGCCACAGCTCGGTTTCAGTGTCTGAAGCCACTGGGCTGTCGGGTGTGGGACCTGGACGTCAATAAAACTGGTTGCAAAGCTTGTCTTCATATGTAGCATCGAGCGTGGCTTCCTGGGCACAGAAGCATGAGGGAAGCACACTTCCGCACTCACTAGACCCTCTGTGACACTTGCGACAACGGTAACAATGTTTCCATGTGGGTCACAAAGTCACACCCTTTGCCTGTACCTCCCATCTGTCATAGAACAGTGGTAGCTGGGTTGGTTCCTAAGGACTTCACAGCCCAGGGGCTGCCTGCACCTACTGAGCCCGTCCTTCCTTTGTGAAAAGGCACCCTGGGGTGCTGTTGGTGGGGCATAGGGCCATTCATGGGGCAAGGTCGGCGGTTCAAACCCACAGTTGCTCCTCAGGAGGAGGTTGAGGCAGTCTGATCCAGGAAAGGCTGCATCTCGGGAAGCCTCAGATGTTGCCCTCCGCGCTTCAGGGTTCCGGGAGCCCAGATGGACTCAAGGGCGAGGCCCAGGACCTGGCAGTGACCTCAGAGCCCCCGCCCCCAGTCCGCAGTGGCAACCTCCTGCTGCTGCCGCCGCCGCCTAGAGCCCACCCCAGCGCCACGCACAGCAGGCAACGTGCTGCCCAGTCCAGGGCCGCTCAGCGTCCACTCGGTGTTCCACAAAGTCTCGGGCTTTGGGAAGGAAATCGCCAGCCCTTTCTTCCTAGTTTTCCATAGTCTGGGAGCTCTGCTGGAGCGTACCAGGCCCCGGAACCGATCCCAGCCCCCAGCGTGGAAGGTAAGACCTGTGCCACGGAGCCACCACTGCCCAGCCAGGCCCCGTGGCTGCTCTCCCTGGCAAATGCCTCACCACTGCCCGCCCTGTCCTCCCATGGCCCTGGGAGCCTCTGATGGGTGGGAGGGGCCGGACCCCTCACCGAGGCACTCTGGCCAGGGCTCCAGGTGACCTTCAGAACCTTTAGAGGGCACAGAAAGTGTTTCTGAACAGTCCCGCCTCCAGCAGAGAACAGAGCCCACCTGAAGATAGGATTTTCTTCTTAGCCAGAGGAAGGGGATCCACAGCCCCGGGGACCCACAGGGGCAGCGCTGCCTTGTCCGATCCTGTGGCGGTGAGTCGCATCGACTCAATGGCAGTGAGTGATGAGCGAACGAGTGGGGGCGCCTAGCTGAGCGTGAGTCCCACGGGCCTAGGTGATTCTCTTCGGTTTAAAAAGGAAAAGAAACGGCCTGTAACCTTTGTTCGTTTGAAGCTAGCTCGTGTGCAGCAAAAGCGTTGCCCATCGTTCCAGCGACTTCTCTTCTGGGGTGGCGGCTCAGAGCTGGCTCTGGATCTGAGGGGGAGAGAGCTGGAGGGGTGTCAGGGCTGTGAGCCCTGTGAGCTGTAACATTGGACACACAGCAGACAATGGGCCCTGCTCCCTGGCACAGCCTGTCGCGGCAGAGGGACACTGTCCTCCCCTCCTTCTGCTCCCCCTGCCCTCTTCCTCCTCTTCCTCTCCTCTCCCTCATCCCCCTCCGTGCCCTCCCCTCCTCTTCCCCTTCATCACTGCCCCCTGACCCCACCCCCTCCTCCCCCTTCCCCTTCTTGGCCTGTAATATTCGGAACATGACTTTTAAAAATCCATCTCTTTTTGCAGCAGTATAGGTAAGGTTCCTCCTTGGTAGATAGCGTCATGCCTTTGTGAACTGCCATGTGCTGGGCAGGGGAGACCGAGGAGGGGTGAGGGGAGGTGGAG